AGGGATGGGCACAGGCAGCATGCTCCTGGGCATGGCCTCTCCTGTGGGCAGCCCCAGCTCTGGATTAGACCTCTCCTGCCATGGCTAGAAGGGCTTTTTCCAGCTGGCAGGCTGGCCTCTCCCACCTTGGAGCTGGTGGGATGCCTGGTTTGGTACCTGGCACCATGCTTGGCTGCAATCCCCACCTGCTTAGCCACTGCTGTCCTCTCCTAGCTCTGACCTGCAGCTTCGGCTGGAGATGGTGATGGCTGAGAACCAGGAGAAGATGGACACCCAGGCTGCCACCATCGCCAAGCTGAACAAGGCACTGAGGGGCAAGCTAGAGGTGAGCCAGTGCCAGAAGTGGGCCAGCACTCACCCCAGGGCAGAGCCGAACTGGGACGGGTGCTGATCTAGGACACAGAAATCTGGGTGACCGGCTCCAGTGATGCCCCATGGGTGCTCCTGGCTTGTCTGACCTTCTCGAACATAAGAGAACCCGCTCTCCCCCAGGGTGCTGGGGGTGGCTGGGGCCAGGCACTGCCTGAGACTGCTTCTTCCTCCACGCAGAACGAGAAGGAGCTGCAGGACGTGGTGAAACAGCAGGAAGAGAAAATGCTGCAACTCATCGACAAGAGTGGGGAAGTCACAGTGCGTCATGGGGGCCCAGCCGAGCTGCATGCCTGGGGGGTGCTGGTGCAGGACCCCTCTCAGCATCTCCTTTCCCCCTGCAGAGGCTGAAGGGAGAGGTGTCCCAGCTGAAGCGCTTGCTCCAGCATGCAGAGACGGAGGCTAAGGTGCTGAGGGAGGAAATGCGGGGGCAGGAGCCTAAGGTGGATGCTGCCTATGTCCAGGAGCGAGTCCTGCTGTGGCAGGAGGTGAGGCTGGGGGCCTGCCAGGGCTGAGGGCTCCTTGTGTCACCACCCTCTGTGGACAGGGGACCTCTCCAAGACCTTGCTCGTTGAGCAGACAACCAGTGGGGCAGCAGGGGAGAGCCCCCCACCCCACAGCTCTCGCCCCACCATGAGCTCTCAGCAGTGCTTGCTATGTTTGCAGGTGGACAAACTGCGGCTGCTGCTCCTGGAGAAAGAGGATGAGAATCTGCTGCTCTCTGACAAGTACCTGGAGCAGGTACGGGGAGCCCTGAGGGGCTGCCCTAGCTCTAGCCCCCTCTCCATCCTGGGCCCATCCCTGTCCAGCTTTGGGACAAGTTCCCAACAGGCATCTCCCACCGTAGGTCCGAGGGCTGGAGCTGAGGCTTCATCATGCCCAGAAAGTGCTGAGGACCCATGAGGAGATGCAGGAGAAGATGAAAGAGGTGAGGTTTGTGGTTCATCGCTCTTGCCCTTGCTGTGACTGCAGCAACACAAACACCTCATCCCCCCCCCCAAATGCTGTCACTAAACACTGCTGCTGTCCCCAGGTCCTGTTGGCTGTCCCTGAAGTGGCAGCGGGATGCCAGGAGCTCCACAGCCTCCTGCGGTACTTGGGCCTGAAGCCGGCCAGTGGCAGCAAGGAGGCTGCTGAGCCGCTATAGCCCATAGCGTGAAACCTTCCTCTTCTTAATGCTGTAATTATTTATTGAATAAAGTTTTGTTGGCTTTTACCCTGCCTGCTACACGGATGCAGGAAGTGCCTGGTGCCCTAGGTGTGGACAACTCCTCCAGCCTGTGCCGGTTGTGCCCGTTCTGTCCCTGTCACGGGGCTGCAGCTACAGCTCCCTGCCACCCTAGGGCCTCTCCTTCCTGGCGCAGGACACGCATCCCCCCCCTGCTGGTGCTTGCTCTCATTAAGGTGCTGAGTTCCCTGGGCTTGCACCCCATGGCCCTGGCAGCAGCCAGCGTGCCTGGGCTGACCTAGCTTCCCTCCCTGGGCCCCTGCTCCTCCTCCTGCCCTAGATTCCCTCCGTACTTCTCCCTGTCCTGCTTCCCCCTGCAGAGGGGATCGGAGGCTGGATCCTGCACCCCCATGGTGGGGCTGTGGGCCACGTGCCTGTTGCATGGGGATGGTTCCCCTCCCAGCCTGGCTCCAGCATCCCCTGGGTGGCTGGGAGCGCTGCCTGCCAGGCTCTGGGAGCTCTGCCAGCTCCTGCTTCCCCCCCCCCCCCTTGGTCCCCACTGCTGCACGGAGTGGGGGTCCCCAGGGTCTGCTCCCAGCACAGCTCCAGCCTCAGGTCCCTTCTTCCCTGCTAGGGCATCTCCTGTGGGATCCCCCTGCCGGCATCCCTGACCCCAAGGATGTTCCCCGCTGCCATGGGGGACCATGTGGCACCTCCCTCCCCCAGCACGGCCCAAAATAGCAGCGTTCAAACAAGTGCTCTGGTTTTTAATGGACTGTTTCTCCTGCCTGGGGAGGGGGGGGGATCACCTTCCCCTGCCCTCCACCCCAGCCCTGCTGCCCCGGGCAGGGCGGGTGCTGCGACACCCTGGGAGCTGGCACCGTGATTGACCCCTGCACCCAGGAAATGGAGGTGCTTACGGCTGCGCTTCTATTTACCGGGTGCGTGGGTGGCTCAGGAGGAAGCAGTGCTTGCTGATCCCTGGCATCACCTCCCTCCCCACTGTGGCTGGGACCCCACTGGCAGGGGGTCAGATATGGCCCCCCAAGATGAGGGGCCGGCAGTGGGTGCCCCAGGCTGTGCCCGGCTTGGGGATGCAGGGGAGATGCACCCCCCTCCCTGGATTAGGGCCATGCGGGGCGGCTGAGCCCTCCTTGTACGGTGGGGATTCAGCAGAGCACAGCCCTGGCAGCTGGCCCGGTGGGGTGAGCGGGGACACCGCTATTGTCCCTGCGCCGGCTCTGGGCGGCTTTCTGGGGGGGAAACTGGTCTCCTGTGAGAGCTCTCACCCTGTCCTAGGGGGTGTGGGGCTCTGCGCTGGCGGGGCTTGGCCCCTGGTACCAGAGGTGATGCAGTCAGGGTCCCTGGCACGGCAGTGGGCTGGGGCAGGGGGGTCCCCAGCCTGGGGGTGGCACAGGAGGGTCCCTGGCATGGCAGTA